AAAAGGTCATGTGCAGGTTAAGTAATTACCAGACAAAAAATATAAACTATAGTCCTGTATGGTGAAAAAGCAGATAAAATTTTTGCGACGAAAAAGAATGAAAACTTTACTTGTTATAACACATTCTGCACTTGTCAAAGGTTGGATAGTTTTAAGAGATAAAAAAAGGCTTTTAGACAATTTGAATTCAGAATTAAAATTGCTTGATGAAAATTTTATCGAAACAATTTTTACCATATTAAATGTTTGGCAATTAAGGATTTTTAAAATTATTTGGTAACACTAAGATTATCATAACATTGATATTCTCACAACTTAGATTATACTCTGCCTGCAGCATTAATAGTAGGATTTCACGGACAGAAATGATTAAATGCTAGATTTTGTTGTTGCCAAAACAATATCATATCATAGACAAAGATTTTTGTTTTGGGCAAAATACAAAGAGGGTGAGCATTTATGATGATGAAAATCTCTTAGGATGACATGGTTTATAATATGTCAGATAATACCATTTTAAACTGGGCAGACCAATTCAGAATCTTAAAAGTGTTAAATCTTAAAATCTGAAACACATTTTAATGACTAATAGTAGGAGTGTGGTAAGAATGTTTTTTTTTTAGAAAAAAGCTATTAAAACAAAATTCATGTACAAAATAATAATGATAAAAATTCTCTTCAGTAAATTTTTTTAAAGAGTCTGTTTCAACCTTTTAGAAGTCTTTAATTGAAAGAATAGTTTTTATTTCAGTAAGCAAGAAAATAAATTCCAGAGAGCACTGTACAGTGTGAAAAAAGACAAAATAATTTATATGGAAATTTGTCAAGCATGCATATTAGCTTACCAAGGATTTTGGAACATGTTTACAAATTGTCTAGAAATGGTTAAATTTGTAATTTACGTGCAATGTTGATGTACAAGATTAAATATGTAAGGAATATTCATATTTGGTGACATCATCAAAATGCACTCATTAACACAATAATCCATGGAGGTTTTGTCATTTTTGCCTTAAACGTGAATAGGAAACACATTTGGGGGGCAGTTTTCAGAATACATCCTAATACATCAACCTCCAAGAGATTTCCAGTTACCCTAATGCCTAGTTGTGTTAGAAACATTGTTTGACTATTTCACCTGTACATGAGAAGAAAGGTAAACGTTGGAGTCCTTTTTGCTTAAAGGACCCATCATTTTCATGTTGAGACCACTCTTTATTCAAAATGCTCATCTTATCCTATTTTTTGCCAAGTTCACCTGTCTGTGTGCAGTTCAGACTGATCTATCTTAGGTCTGAGACCAAAAAGTCTAAACTCAGAGCACAAAATCAGATTCGGACCTTGGGCAAATTTTGGTTGGAAAAAACTTTGGTCCAAAAAATTATATTTTTCCCTCTGTATTTTGTAGTGCAGCTAGAACATCTATATTATTTGGTATTATTGTAGAGCCACATCTTTCTACCTTTCAATAATACCACCCACTTTAGTGTATCGTACAAGACCTTGATGCTACAGAGCTTGGATGTAGGCTACTACCTCCTGCTGTGCAAACATGGCACCAGGGGTAAATGTGTTAAAATAAAATAAGGCAAATTAATTTATACAAAAGTTTGTTAAGCATGTGTATTAGAGAAAAGTTGAAATTCTGGAGTGCTGACAGTGACAGTTAAATTTGTAATAAGAAGTCACAGACATCACAGCACCTACTTATTGAATGTATTTTTTTTAAAGATGTTTTTAAAATTTTAATATTTAGAAGTTCCATTAAAATTTTAATACAGGCAAAAGATTTTATTACTAGATGATTTTATTTACTCTCTTACAGTTTGGTGTCACAACTATTGCCAAACTTGTCATAAGTGAACTGAGAACCATTTATAAAATGTCCTACATTGGTAGAATGTAATGTCAAGTACAAATTAAGATCATTTAAATCGTACAAAAACAGAAAATATAATTGGATTCTTTATATATATATCACACTTAATATTACAATTGTGTCACACTTGATGCAATAATTATGTTTCATTTATTACCATAATTATTGTTTATTTTTAATGCAGAAATTATAGCACCTTTAATACAATAATTATCACACCTAATGCAATAATCTCACATTTAAAATAATAATTATGCCACATTTAATACAATTTTTACCCCAAAGGATAAATTTCCTGAGAATAAGTTTTTTAGTGCATGACAGTTTTTTTTGTACTCATTAACTTGCTGATTTGCATAAATGTCAGGAATGAGAAGACTATAACAGACAAATTAGTTATTTTGGTGTATAAGGGTTAAATTATATACACAAGTTGTTAACAAACATGCCATTGGGAGTAGCAACAAGTTTGGTTGGTTGGGTTTTCAGTGGCACTTGCAACATAGTATCGAGTATATCCAGATGACCTTGGTATCAAATGCAGAGCCCTTGGCCCGAGTCCAACACTCTAACATTGGACTACAGCAACTTCCGTGGATTACCATCGGTACTCATAAGTTGAGTCAAACTGCAATCAGCAAATATTATGTTCTTCCATAGCATAATGTGCCTGCATATCAGGGTGTATGTTGGTTGTTCTACTTTTAACAAACTATACAGACCAGGATCTACCAGCACATTATGCAATGGCAGATCTGGGTCTGTGCAGTTTGCAGTTGGACTCGTAAGTGATTATATGTGGTTTTATCTACTAGGTACTGTGCAATGTAGAGATAAAGGTTAAGGGCTTTGTATAAATGCAAAGCAAGATAAAAACAAGAAATAAACAACCTAACTACAATTTATTAAAGCAATGCTTTATATAGCTCCAAATCTGGACAATCGGCTAGTTTATATTAAAGTATTCTAATAATGGCAATGTACGATAAGAAAATGGGAAATAAAAGTGATAACCCAGCTGTGATACTAGTATGTCAAGGATTGGGATACAAGTTCATCTTTTGGCTGGATTGTGTGATTGAAAGAAATTTTAATTGCTTCTAAAGTCTGGGCTTTGTGAAAGGGAGATAATTTTTAATTACTCGTTAAGTCTGAAACTTTGTGAAAGGACAGGATACATTAAAGTTCATTTTCACTGTTTAAAAAGAGTCTTAAAAGTTTTTGGACAATGAATATAGATTTGTTTACAAAGAATTTGAAAGGTGTCTACAAGAATTGATTTGTTTTTTACATATAGTTCATTATTTTTTTTATATTTAATTTAGCTTTTTTATTCATAAAAAATTTTGGTGTTCTCCAGTAGAACATTATTTTTAAAAATTTTCAATTTTTTGTTCAATCAATCATCATATTTCTGATGCCCTTATTATGAGACCATTGATAGATTTTTTATGCATTAAAATGACATATAATAGCACTGACAAAAAGATAAGAATGAACCTCAGTTAATTTTCAGTTATGTCCGAAATGTATGGATTTAAGAAATATGGAAAATGAAAAAGGTAAAGTCCTGATTAATTGTTAAGCCCTTCAATATAAAATGGTTCTTGTTATATGGCTTTTCATTATAACATGGTTTGTGTTATAAGACCATTCATTATAGCACAGTTCCTGTTATAAGGCCATTTATTATAACACAATACATGTTATAAAGCCATTAATAATAGAAATGATAATGCCCTTCAATATAGTCAGGTTTCTGTTGTAAAACCATTATAATTATAACATGATTCTTGTCATAAGGTCATTCATTATAGGACAAATCCTGTTATAGGCCATTCATTATAACACAGTTCTTGTTGTAAGGCTATTCATTATAAGATGATTCCTGTTTTAAGGCCATTCATTATAACAGGGCTCATTTTATAAGACCATTCATTGTAACAAAGTTGCTGCTAGAAGGCTATTTATTTATTATAACACAGTTCTTATTATAAGGCTTTTCATTATAGCATGGGTTCTGTTACAAGGCCATTCATTATAACACACTTCCTGTCATAAGGCCATCCATTATAACACTTCATGTTTTAAGGCCCTCCATTATAACATGGTTCCTGTTATAGGGCCATTCCTTATAAAACACTTCCAGTTATAAGTCTGTTCATTTTAACATCCTGGTATAAAGTTATTTATTATAACACAGTTCCTGTTATAAAGCCATTCATTAAAATACAGTTCTTGTTATAAGGCTATTTATTACAATACATTTCCTATTATAAGGTTGTTTATTATAACAGTTCCCATTATAAGGCAGTTTCTTACAACACAGTTCCTATTATAAGGCTATTTATTATAACAGTTCCTGCTATAAGGCTGTTCATTATAACATGGTTCCTGTTACAAGGCAGATATGGTCATGAATCCCATTTCAAAAGGCAACGATAAGATTGTATTCATAATTGAACACTTAATACAGCTGTTAAATGCAAATAATGTATAGGAAATGAGATGACTTTTGTACGCATTCTATTATATTTTGCACATAAGAATATTTTTGACTTAATTACATGTTATCATTGTATATACTTATGCCCCAGTATATATGCATGTCAATAATATATACAAATATACTACCAATGCTTATATTTTACTCAGAATGAGTTTAATACTGTCATAAATTGTATGGAAATAATTATTTTCTTATTAAAATTATGATGATCTTGAATTCTGACATCATTTTACATGTCCCTTTTTTTAGAAAGTTTGTTAACAACCGTTTCAATATAATGAATTTGACAGCGTCTGACACAACTTTCTAGATGCGATTCCTGTCAGTCACATATTTGGTGTTTTACATAGATGTCTGCAAGGTTAATTTTTGGAGCTTGTGTATGTGTGTGTGATTTGGATTTGTAACGTAGCTTTAACGATTTTTCATTCATATCGCTACGATGTCTGCAGCATGGCATTTTATAGTGATGTCTTTCATTGGGTCCTCATGCCAGACATGTAGCATCATGTCCCACCCAGTCACATTATTCTAACTCCAGGCCAACCAGCCTAACACTCACCTCTTTATGCGAAGCAGCTGTTTTTTACAGTACATTTTTTAAAAGTCTTTTGTATAACTCAGCTGGGAATCGAACCCACGACCTCCCGCATTTGAGGTGGACGCTCTAGCCACTAGGCCACCAAAGCGATAATTTCATAAGGATTCCGACAACGATGCAATTTGGATTAGAGGAGATGCTGTTGTCAACGTTAACATTGTGGATGCGTGGATGCATGTTCTAATCCCTTCACTGAAGAATGCATATTCTAATCCCTTCGCTGACTACAGAAGACCGTTTCTTGTCATTTATGGAACCATGTCAACACTGTTGTTACTCACGCGCCCAACACAGACTAGAACCAGGTAACTATTATTCAGATACAGTTTGTATGGAAGTCAGTAACATACATTGCCTTACCACACCAAAGCATGTGTTCCTGACATTTCAAAATGAAAATACAAGATGATTAATAAAAGCCTAGTAAAATGGTATTTGACTTCTTAAAAGTGACTGAAGTTTCTCTGCGGTTAAACGGTCATCAAGAATCTATTGATAAACTTTTGCTTAATGCCACAGACAAGTTAACGTACGTTATCATAATCTGTGATCCTATTGTTATAAAAGGAACCCGGATAAAAATGTGTCGACAAGAGTCTGCACATTTCCCAGTACGACTCTTTACATTGTACTCCATTTGTTACTTTTTCATTGGAACACATGTTTAGACATTATACGATTGACGTGTACTTTCATTTACGTATGGGTGAGGCAATTACATATGCCGTACTGTGATACTTGCCGACACTTGTTGAAGGGTGCGGACGGTAGAATGAGGGGTATTGATGATCCTATAGAAAATTTAAAAACTTGTAACATAATTACTGAACCTTGAACATTTTCAAATAATGATGACCTGTCACAAAATAAACGTTGGCCATAGCCCATTGCACTTTAAAAATATAGAGAACACTTATTTTTGGGTTACCCAACACACCTTAATGAGCATTATCGTTATCCAAGCTATAGGTGGCACTAATGAGAAGAAGAAAAAAACGGAATATGTACATTGCTCGTGACTATTCTAGCATTATAAGCTGCTGGGGTTTCAGTAGCTACGATGTCATAGCCTCAACTTATTTCGTTGTGGTTGGGTTGTGTCCACTAGGTAGGACTAAAGTACTAATATTAGTACTAGGGTTTCAGCGGTTGCAAAAGCAACTGCGTTAGTTGCCGTTGGAACAGCATCATGGCTTTGAAAAAGGCAAGTGCAGACCGTATATAAAATCTCATAAATGAATAAAGAAAGGAAAATGCCTTTCGTTAACAAGGAACAACATGCAAAATACCCTCGGACAGATGTCTTCGAGTACCTGATACAAGACACAAAATATCCACGCAAATAGTGCGGTAGATTGACAAATTTAGGTGGATACTCCAAGTCAGTAGGTGAACTATTCAGCTGGACATGTGTTTACGTACGTTTGCATGAATACGTGCTTTAATCTGCGCGTTTGTGTCAACAGTTTAAACTAAATCACAATGGCTCTCAACAACTTAATACACGCAAATATGATATCATAGGACAAGCTTCAAGCATGAGCTATGCTTGGAATGCTGACGCCAGAAGGTCGGCGGGTTAGGAGGGGGCAATCGTCTTAGGATGCCAGGAGAAGGTGACGATGCCAGTAGCATTTTGTTTTCTTTGTTTCTTTTGCAGCTGAAATTTTCATGCTATCTCGCCTTCACCTTTGTACAACGGAGGTAATTTTTCAAGAAACGTATGCGTTTTCGGTGGTGTGAAGACGGGGATAGACGTTAGCAACTGACATAAAAACTCCGTTCTCTGTAACTAAGCAGCATTGCCAATAAAGAACATTGACCCAGTGCGCATCGAACATCTGCACTGGCACAACATGCTTGTCTTTCATTCTATGTCTCTGCCATTGGTTATCAATGCGTAATATGTATATATTATCACACTAGTGGGAAGGGGCGGTCAGAATGATTCGGTATGTTTAATCATTCCCAGTACATGACGAATAATGAAAATGCGATTTTGTTAAAACCAAGGAAGTAGAAAATGGGGGGAGGCAACCGCTACCGAAAATAGAACAGAGATGATAAAAATATGTTCGAAGAGTGATTAGTTAATGGATTTTACATTATTTTAAATGCAAATCCAAATTTTATACAATCCTCAATTTGCCTATGTAAAATTGTACTGAAACTAAACAAATAATAGAGATATATAGGAAACACTATTTATCGTCGTCGTTATCGTTGTACTTGTTATCATCACCATCATTATCCTCACCATCCACACAATTCAACACTGATATTACAGTTCGCTTCTTGTTCCATTAATTTAAAAATCACTTTCTCAAAATAATTGGGTACTTAATATATGGTTGCATATTGATTTTTGTTAATTCCACAACTCAAGAAATGAGATCGTTATTACATCTTTATGATCATCAACTGATGGTTACATGTTGTAGTATTTACATTCAATTATATTACAAATAAACTAATTACGTACTTTTATAATTTCCTTAGGGCTTACCAACTTTCTACATTTGCATAATTTCTGCCTTTTAGAATATAATATAGATAATTAAATCTCGACTACATTCATAATAGCCAAAGAGTATAAAATTTAATAGTTACGATATAGTGCAACATTCGTTTTGAGAAATAAAATGTATTTTACTAAATTTACAATAGATTACTAATTTGGAATAGGTTACTGAAACATTGTTCTTTACTACTTAAAGAATATTTTATTTACAGATTAAATCTAAACATGAAGTTGGTAGCGAATTAGTCTTTTTCCATAATGCATATAATGAACAAAATGAAGATAAGTTCTTTGAAACAATAAAATATTTCACTATATTATAAAAGTAAGAAGTCTTAAAATATTATAAAAATTATCAAGACTGATTTTTTTTTACTCCAGGTTGCTGTCATTGTTTACGTTATTCGTTCATCTCGAATCAGAGCAAACTCAATTTTTTCCCACAGGAAACGCGTGAATCATCAATTTACGGACCTTTGGGTACAGGCGAATTGAATGATTGCCTATAGTCAGCTTTTCATCATCAAGTCTAAAATTTGTTCACGTTAACCTTTAAATGCAGGAGAATATACTTGCTCACACAAGTGTGATCTTTGCCAACACAGCACACTGCTGCTGCGCAAAAAAATCAAATTTTAATCTCACTATAGTTTAGTAGAAAAATACTTAAGTATATTGTATTAAAAAGTTACTTTTAATACGATTTAAAGAAAATTTCAATCTTAATACTTTTACTAAAAATTTGTGTCCTAATATATCTAGCACTGGCGCATCATGCCGCAGACATCATGTCCCATTCACATTATCCTGATACCATGCCGACCAGTCCTAACTCTAACCTCTTAATACTGAGTGACAAGTGAGGCAGCTGCTAGTACTATTTTTATGTCTTTGGTATGACTCGGCCGGGGTTTCAAACTTTGACCTCCCGCATAAGGTATTGCTGATTTACATCTGAAACAGAAACAGAAAATGCTAAATATATATATATATATATATATATATATATATATATATATATATATATATATATATATATATATATATATATATATATATATATATATATATATATATATATATATATATATCTGTGTGTGTGTGTGTGTGTAGATAGAGAGACACACACACAGACAGAGAGAGGCAGACATAAACTGCATATCTAGTTGATAAGTTCTATGACATTCAGTAATATACGAATAAAAAGATACGCAATATATTATACTAATTTTGTTTTAAAACCTTATTAAAAGACATTTGAAAATGCGTGTTACATTTTTAAATTAAAAAAAAAACACGTCAGTTTCTCAATCAGAGATTGAACACGTAGAAAACGTATGTACGACCTGTTGACTGGAAAATAGATGACCAAATGATGGAACCGATTCGGAAGCAGCCGGAAGCTCCACCTAACCAGGAGTAGACCGATAGCAGTATCTCTACCGTACGGAAACCATTGCCTCAAGTGCACATCTTCATTACAGAGGAAATATGCAAAATGCTTTTGGATGAACGTCTTATTAACTATCACGACTGTCTTTTGGAAAATACTACAAATAATATCTTCGAAATGAGAAAAGACAAGTGAATTTCACATGATATGTAGTTTATTTATGTTGTCAGAGTAACCAAATTAACAACTCTCATGGAAAATCAAGTGACAGCTGCACACTAATAATATATAAGAATAATAATTTTGCCTTTAACGTGCAATTTGAGATTATCCCGTAATTATATATATATATATATATATATATATATATATATATATATATATATATATATATATATATATATATATATATATATATATATATATATATATATATATATATTGTGCATTTCTAATTATTATGACCACTTATAAATTGTGACAATAATTCATCTGAACACTACAACATTGTTTTTTTTTAAATCGTCACCATGATTATCGTCATTGTTTTTGTCACCATTGTCATCTTTTCTATTATCTGACCTTGCACTTTAACTTTGATGATAAGGTTCGCTAGGATTTCTTTCTGACTGTCCATTTATGTTTCTCTGAGAAGATCCTCTAGGATTTCTTGCTTGCCTTTATTTTGCTTCTATGCATTTTATTGTCTAAGCTGACTGTAATTAATGAAATTTAGTTATATGAGAAAAAGTGGCTCTTTGGTTTGTCTGGAATATCGCGGATCATCTTTTTTCCTCACAATTTTGTTTTTGTTTTAATCTCACCTTCCAATGTCAGTAACGTTTGGATCACATTGGAATTTTCTACAATGGGACTAAATTTCCATTAAAAATATTTTTTAATTAATTTTCAAATAATCCTCATTTTATTTAATATAATTTATATATCGTCATAATTCATTAAGAATGGAATCAATTTTTCAAGACTTATTCTTTTCATATGTAAATAATACAAATTGCTTTATATATCCACCTTGACAATTTACAGAAAAGTCAACTGTGACAGTCATAAGTTAAAAATATATTGACTCATTCCCATTTTTGTATCCGTCTTTTCAATTATAATTGACAGCACTCAGCCGTAGTAAACTTTCTATTGTCTATCAAGCTAGCTT